AAAAAAAAATGTAACTATAAAACATTAAATATTCCACATAGAAAAAAAGTTATGCAGAGTCAAAATACAAATGACCTACTGTGAGAAAATACCTTCACACACAGCAGGCAAAGAACAAATATCTTTCTTATATAAGAAAAAAAAGATAAACTCAATAGAGTAAACAAGACAAGGATATATATTGGTGGTGGTTGTTAAGTGCCATCGAGTCAGTTCCAACTCATAGTGAACCTGTGAAGGGTTTCCAAGGGGCAACTGGTGAGTTTGAATCACTGACCTTGAGGTTGAAACTAACCTTGCAGTTCAGTGCATTATCCTGCAGCACCACACCAGTACCCTACACGTTAGTTGTTGTTGTGATGTGCTGTTGAGTTGGTTCTGACCCACAGCGACCCTGTACAGGGTTTCCAAGGCTGTAAATCTTTACGGGAGCAGAAAGCCTCATCTTTTCCCCTTGGAGCAGCTGGTAGTTTCGAACTGCTGACCTTAAGATTCACAGCCCAATTTGTAACCATTACGCTACCAGAGCTCCACATATTAGTAGTTTACATAAAATTTAAGGGACCAGTAAATAGTTTAAAGACATACTCAGTCCCATTCATGATTTTAAAAATTAAAACAATGAGGTATCCATTTTCTACCTATGAAACTATCGAACACTAAATGTTATTACTACCCACAATTTTTGATAGGAGAAAACAAGCTTCACACACAGTGCTGGTGGCAGCACAAATTAGAATAACTTTTGTTAGAAGAAAATTTATCAATGTCTCTAAAAAATAGGGATGGCGCAGGACTGGAGAATGTTTCATTCTGTTATATACAGGAGGTCACCATGCATAGGAACCAACTCGATGGCACCTAACAACAACTAGCAACAGAAAAATTTAGAGAACATATATTCTACGATCCAGCAGTTCTACTGGCATAAATCTATCCTATAGATATATAGAGAGAGTTACAGAGATACAGGAGGAAGTTTGAACAAGTTCATGGGAAAATTCCACTATTTTTTAATACCTTCTCCAAGAACTCTTTGAAGTCCCTTTGTATATACAAAAATCTTTATTACTGCATTGTTGTTGTTAAGTACCACTGAGTCTGTTCCGACCCACAGTGACCCTGTACAGACAGGGTTTCCAAGGAGCAGCTAATGGGTTTGAACTGTTAATATTGCAGTTCAAATTGACCTTGCAGTTCAGTGCATTATCCTAAAGCACCACTCTAGGACTCAGATTGCAACATTAAGTATACCAAAAGCACTAACAACAAAGACAGCATCTTCCACGTCCACCAGTGAGACTATTAATACATCACTGACACCATTCCTCAGAACACCACCTGGCTTTCCTAAAGTGAGTGCAGCAGATCCATGTATATGACATGGAAAGGCCTCTAAAATATACTAACAAGTCAAAGTACCAAAAAGCCAACTAGTATACATCAGATGACCCCACCTGTGTAACAGTAGCTATAGATACAGACAGACACATTCATATACTGATACATGCCTAAAAATCACCAGGAGGGTATACAAGAAGCAGTTTACAGCAAATGTCTCTAATAAGCATCAACAGCAATAGGTGAAGATATGTCCTTTTCATTTTATCCATATTTGTTGTTGTTTTTTTAAATAAAAAAGTAACATATGCATAAGATACATTTAAAAGGAAGGAGGAGGAAACCTGCCCTTCCATTGCACATATAAAATACCTCTGAAAATTCAAGAGAACTACCATCTGGGAAAACAAAGGAGTCCAGAAGGAAAAAAGCTTTAGAAGTAGATCTCTACCTATGGTTACTCAAAATTTAGCTTTAGGGCAAGTCAGAAAGGGCATTACATGTGACCCAGAAAATGGACAGATTTAAAATAAGCAAACAAAAAACCAACAACAAAAAGAACAATATACTGTCATATTGTTTGCTGTTGAGTAGTTTCCAGCTCATGGCAATCTTGTATAGGGTTTCCAAGAAGTGGCTAGTGGGTTTGAACTACTGACCATGCAGTTAGTAGCACAGCACTTATGCTAATGTGCCACACCAGGGCTCCATACTGCAATATACCATGAAGAATTCATTTCAGGTTGCATTCAGATACATAATAAGAGGGCTAACTAAGCATGACATTTCATATAGCACTGAGCAAGAAAATTGGTAAGTATAACGTATGAAATCATTAGCAAGTGAGTTCTACCAGATGTCGAATACAGAAAGAGACAGCAATTGGATAGCGAACAGGTAGTCCCTGAGTTACAAATAAGTTATGGTTCTTATTTAGCCTTATTTTAGTGCAAGAAAAGGCTCGAAGTGCTTTCAATGATTTAAAAGCTACACATGCAGCAAGTCACAGTGATTGTGAAGAATTTGTTATCTAGTAGGGAGCATGATGGCTCTGTAGGATAAGCACTGGACTGTGAACCACAAGGTCAGAAGTTCAAGCCCACCAGCTGCTCCATGGGAGAAAGATGAGGTTTTCTGCTCCAGCAAAGCTTTTACAGCCTTGGAAACCTTATATAGGATCACTATGAGTGGAAGGCATTAACAACAGCGGGGACTGCTTCAAATGTTTCAAAGTGAGGGCAAATTTACAGTAACACTGAAGGGCAGGTGGCCGTCAGACTTTCATAATGGGGGTCTGACTGTGAACTAAAAGTGAGCTGATGGTATCAAAAATATAACCCTTTGAACCTTAACAAGTCTTCACTACCTTGGTTACATTTATTTTGCAATGACTTCTTCTGTTTTGTTGTTGTTGTTGTTGTTGTTAGGTGCCATTGAGTTCAGTACCAACCCACAGCGACCTTATGCACAGCAGAGAGAAACACTGCCCAATCCTGGACCAACCTCACTACTGTTGCCACGCTTGAGTCCATCGATGCTGCCATTTGGCCAATCCATCTCGCTGGGGGGTATGGGTGGGGTGGGGTCTTCCTCTTTTACTCTGACCCTCCACCTTACCAAACATATTCCTTCTGTTTTAATGATAGGAAATATTGCAAAATAATCCATGATAATACCTACTTCCAATTCCCACACATCTAACATGTCATACCCAATCTCAAGGAAAAAAATAATTCATACTTGGATGCCAAATTACTGGAGAACATTTTTACACTTAAATGCAGGAGCTCCTTGCAGAGTACAGAATCAATTTGGGGTCTAGGATCTATTTAAGGTCTATTGACAACAACGAGTCTTCATGAACTGTAAATCTGACTAATCTTCCTCCAAAATAAAACCATCCACTCGAAGCTTCTCCACAAAGCAGTTAACAGCTGTCTAACTTGACATCATGGAAAGTCATAGAAGTGTCTTTCCTGGATCAGTTTCCAGAAAACTCTCTGCTTGCCTCTGCATTTTATCTACAAGAGAATCCAACCACTTTTCCTGGCTTTAAATTTGTATGTAGCAGGTTAATGAAATCCATGATAGGACATAATTTATAAGGTAATCAGGTAAAAACATTTTCCCGTCAAAGAAACAGATCACTGGCAGGAATGGGAACCATACCAAGTATTCCAATACCTCCTTGCTTCCCTGCTGTTACTTACCTTAGAATTCATTTCCATGTGGAATTTGGCACAAGCGCGAAGCTGAGTCACCCAATACTGCTTCTCTTTTCCATCAGCAGCTAAAACAGAGAAAGCAATGCTTACAGAGGTTGTTTCCAAATATTTCCAGTGTATTTCAACACCCAACTAACGGACTAGAGGGCCCAGGGAGTGAAGGGTTGCAGGAGAAAGCCAGGAAAAGTAAATGCAGATTGTAATAAACTCAAACAGCCTATACTTAAACCAAAAAACAAGCTACATTAAATCTCAGCAGAAAATTCCCTCTTCAATACTTGAATACTAAAAATGTATTTGGAAATGTCTGTTTTAAGAATGATTTTACCTTTTTTTAAAAAACAAACAAAAAAGCTGCCCTGGAAAAAACAGAGTTTCTTTGCTAAACAGGCAGCAGGGAAGGGCAAATATGATTATTTTTTAATGCATCTACCTCGGGTGGCTAATCTGAGTATCAAAGTACATTTCGTCAGTGTTTTTTGTTATCTGCCAGAGTTGTACTTTGGAGTTACTATCTACAAAATAAGTGTTCAGTTGAATTACCATTTTAATATGTGTTTTCAAGGATTCATATCATTAATTGGACAGCACAAAATGCCAAGTTCTGCCTCAGAGATCTTCAACTTGACCCCAAAGAGACTTCAAAATTCAAGTCAACCACACAGTCGTATTGTTCCATCTATGATCCCATGTCTCAACAGACATCAAAACTCTTTTCTTAAACTATCATACTCACAAAACACATTTTAAACAAAACCTAAATCATTGATACAGCTGTTAACTACAGAAATGTTGACTTACTCCAAAAACAAAACCCCAGTGACTCCTATAAATAATAGTTTACAAAAATGAGCCAAAGTGTTATTGGTAAATAAAACTCAACTACATCTTGAACCCTCAGGTAAAGAAATATAGAGCTAAAAATAGGAAATTCTTTGACTGAGTTTATTTGAGGACCTGAAGATGGTCCTTCCCACCCTGGTGTGTCTATCAGGAGGCCTACTGTCCGTGGCACAAAAACAGTAATAAGACGACGAAATGAACTCAACCTCCAAAGACGGGCAAAGGAATTTGCAGGAACAAGACTTTACTTCTTGGGAAATTTAAACAATGGCTAATTTGTGGTGGTAAACTGTTGCTAAATGCTAAGTCAGCTCTGACTCATAGAGACCCTGTATAAAATTTCTAAGGTGGTAAATCTTTGTGTGAGCAAAAAACCTCAACTTTCGCCCACGGAGTGTCTGGTGGGCTTGAACCACAGACCGTGCAGTTCACAGTCCTGTGCTTATTGTACATAGATAGCCACCACACTCCCAATTTGTGGTAGCTGTTGCTGTCAAGTGCCACTGAGTGAGTTCCAACTCATAGCAACCCTATATAGGGTTTTGGAGAAGCAGCTGGTAAGTTTGAACTGCTTATCCTACAGTGCCACACATACCAGGCAGTACGATCCAACAGCTCAGAATCAAAAATGTTCACAAAAGCTGTATTTCCCATGACATCACATCCCAATGGACCCCCACACTAGGAATCCACATAGGCCAGAATCCTTGGTTTTTATCATGGAAGTGATAAAACCAATGCCCAGCTTCTTGTCAGATGGGCTAAGGACTCTTTTTTCAAATACAGAAATCTATCCTGCATTTTTGTTGTACTTGATAAATGTAAGCTAAATTAAGTCCCTATGGTAATTTTATACAATTTTTTAAAGACTTGTTTTTTGTTGTTTGTTGTTGTTAAGTGACAGAGTCAGTTCTGACTCCTGGCAACCCTGTATTGGGTTTGAACTATCAATCTTGTGATTAGAAGTTCTATTCTTATCCTACAGTGCCACACCAGGACTCCTTAAGATGCTTACAACTAACTATTAAGCAAAACTTGATTTGTATTCTGCCTAGTGCTTTAAAACCGTACAGTATTATAACAAAAAATACACACGTCTACATAGAAACAACCCATAACCTGTCATCTAAAAAAAACACCTATTTGCATGTGTTCTTCCTGTTTGTGTTAAACTAAGTTTATTTGATTCATATTATATTTCTATTTCTCATTTGTAAGTTGTATATTTCCACTGTGTTTCCAAGAATGGGAATATAGGTAGTCTCCAACTTACAATGTATTCAAGTTTGGACAAACTTCCTGTATACAATAAAATTTTAATATCTGCTATTAAAATTATCCTTTTAAAAAAACCCTGTGGTTTAATCTTTCAGATAATAATAACTCAAAGGCAAAATGCTACTGCTGTTGTTAACCGCCGTCGAGTTGGTTCTGACCCCTAGTGACCCTATATATTGTTTCTGAAGAGCCGCTGGTGAGCTTGAACCACCAACATTGCAGTCCAAATCGACCTTGCAGTTCAGTGCATTAACCCACAATGCCACAGCAGGATTCCAAAGGCAAAATAAGATAGTTCAATTCATAAGCAAAAACAATAATAATTGTCAAGTTAGTTGTGTTTTTCTTTTATATGAGCCTGTGTCATTTTATAAACCATAGCAAAGTTAAAAAAAAAAAAGAAAAGAAAAAAGTGCCATTAAGTTTTTCACCTGCTATTGTTTCTGCTCTAACAATTTATTAAGCAATAAACAGTAAAGCGAAGCCCCACACCACATAAATCTAGCTGGAAAGTGCCCTGCATGAATCTCAAAAGAGAACATGAATCTTAGCATGCTTTTCCCAAACCCGAAAAACTTCCTTCTTCAACTATATGCATTTTTATTTCATAAGCTTTTGGGGTATGTTTATAGATTCTAAAATATGACTTGTATACAGATAATTTTTTTTTTTTTTTTAATTTAGTGTGTTCCATCTCTTGGGTAGTGATGCTTGGTACTACACTACAGTGACAACTAGTCTGAGATGAGGAATCTCAGCCTTCAGTCTGGCTTGCAGAGACTGCCTATCATGGGCAGTTCCCTGGTTGTCAGAGAGAGATAATGTGGGCCTTTTTTTTAAAATCATGCTTTAGCTTTACTCAAGCAGAGAAAGACATTATATGAGAAGGCAGAATGATGAAGCACCCCAATGCCTTCCTGAGACCTTAACACGTAATATTGAGTATGCAAGTGTGTGTGCATTTGGACTTATTTGGTCATTTTATTATTAGAAGAAAACTAACAGAACCATCCTGGCAGCATGGCCTAACAATCCAATTCAATGGCTACCATCAAATCTGGCATTTGTAAAAACTTGCATGGTGGATCTACCCTTAGGGAGATCTACCATTTGGCATCAAATTAATGCCAACTCATGGCAACCCCATGTGTATCAAAGTATAAACTATGTACCATAGAGTTTTCAATGGCAGATTTTTTAAGAAGATTGCCAGCCCTGTCTTCCAAGGCATCTGTGGGTGGACTTGAACTGCCAATCTTTTGGTTAGCAGTCAAGCATTTGTACCACCCAGGGACTCCTGTTATAGCTAAATGTAGGTCCCTCAAGAGTCATCTTCACTGGTGAGGATGATGAACACACCTGTTTCAAGAAACAAAGAGAATGGGAGAAAATATACAAAGGAAAATTAACTCCACATCAGTCTGCCTCAACAGGTTGGAATACTATAATGGATTGAATGAAACCTAAGTGAAAGCAATTCTAGAGAACATGGGAGCCCTATAATCAAAGATGGTGCTAGCAGACTTTGAGAGAAGGACAATAACCCTTAAAAGTTCCTCTTGGCCTCACAACAAATCCCCAAAGGGCACTACAGTGAAGATTCATACTATAAAGTCAAGGAAAACATACACTGAGCTAATATAAACAGTACTCAAATGTTCTAAGGTTCAGCTGGTTTTTAAATACTTAACTTTTTCTTTGTCCTTAATTCTTCAGTTAATCAGGACAAGCAACTCCTAATGTCAGTTTTATCTCCCCACCCAGAGGTAAGTGAGGTGGGTGTCTGTCTGTCACACAGTCCTCAACCACAACAAATTACTGAAAGTGGTTACCATCCCAACCCTGGCTATCATCATGGTAGCTATGAATGTAGCCCCTGAGGGCAGTCTGCAAAGTTACCAGGGGAAGACCATACCTCTCAGTTTATACATCTCTCCATTAGCAGAGTACACGACCAGCATGTGAGGAGCTTCGTCACTCAGGGACACAATGGCTCCAGCTAATGATAGGGCTCCCCTCGGCTTCTGGTGTTTGCTTTGCTCATTCACAAAATACTGCAGGATGCCAGCCTCAAAATCCAGCACAAAGTACCTGTAAAGAAAAACTACAGTATGTCATTTTTCTCTCCCAGCCTATTCCCCATCCCAAAGCAAAAAACAATGCAGGATCAGGCTTCAAATCCAAGGAGCAGGAAATCAAAAGCCCCTCCCACATGCCCAAAGGAAGTCGATTCATAAGCAGGGAAAAAACACTTGATTTTAAAATGAGAATGGTGTTTGTAAAGGGCCACTGCAAGCTCTGGTTGGTCCACTCAAGATTTGATGCAATGCCCACCACTCTCCCAGTGCCCACAATGCCACTTAAAACCTTAGGATGTCAAAAGGATGGCAGGTACATTTCAACACAGCTTCTTGTCACATACTCCATGACTGTAGAGGAACATCTGAAATTCACTAGCCCTCTAATGGAGGTCATTTTACACCCTGGTAGCACAGGTACCTAAGGCGTTCTGGTATCATAGTGGTTACGAGTCGGGCTGCCAACCTCAAGGTCAGCAGTTTGAAACTACCAGCGGTTCTGTGGGAGAGAGAATAGGCATTCTGCTCCCGTAAAGCCTCAGAAAACCTGTTCAGAGTCACTATGAGTCGGAACCGACTCCATGGTACTTACCAACAACACCCAACAAGCACAGGTACCTAGAGGAGGCTGAACACCTGACCCAGTTTCAGAGGCTCCAATCAGCTCTCAGCTCCCAGGGCACCATTGTATCAAAATACTAGTAGTGTTTGTGCAACCACCTGGGCACGCTCCATTGAGTTCTTAATTGTTCAGGACAAAGAGGCAAGAATTCCCTCTGTGCTCTGGAAGGGTGAGATTCCACTGAATTCTGCCTACATCCAGGTAAAATAAGAGAACTTCAGGCCACCTAAATCTTCCAACAAATCTGTCTTCAAATATCTGGTCTGTTTACCTTCTCAATTTATCAACTGGTAAGTAGTGAACACAACTTCCCTTTCTCTACCAGGATGAAAACATCAGCCAAGACCTCAATTCTTCCTGAGGCAGAAGACTCAACACAGCCCCTGCCAAGTTTCCAGCCTTCTCACTTTCTGTTCCAACCACAATGTCCTCATATTCCTCCTCCACTCTTACCTCATTAGCAATATGCCTTTCACCACAAGGACCTCCGCATATGCCACTGCCCTGTCTGAAGCAGCCATTCAAAGTGTGGTCCACTAATTATTACCAGTCAGTCCATTACAGCCTTTTGAAACTTTTCCTGCATCGTGGCTTTTCACCAACATCCAACAACATGGTTAGAGGAGTTTTCTCATTTAATAGCTCAGATGTCAAACCCAAGTGCATATCCAAGCTGCATACTGTTCACAAATCAACCACAGTGCAATTAGAAATAAAAGTGACCTTCACCAAGGACTAATTGAAAATTACTTGCTCAGAATGCTATTCCTTCTGTCTAAAATACTGCTCCCTCCTTTCCTTTAGTTTACTTCTTCTCAACCTTCAGAAACAGTTTAAGTATCACCTCCTACAGAAATTCTCATGGCAAATCATCCTCCTGCCATCTTTTAGAGCACCTTGAAGTCCTTCGTGGTACCAATCCCAGCGGGAGAGCACACATTTGTATGATCACCCGATTCAATGTCGATTTTTCCACGAGACACTGTGTTCCTCAGAGAACAAACTGTTTCACCCCACTGCTATATCCCTGTCCCTGCGGTGCCCTGCACACTACCTGACACTCACTGCTAATCAGTTCACATTTTTTAACTGGATAAAGGAAAACAAAAAGTCCACAGTTCCAAATTTATGCAGCGAGTTGCCTGGGCCACTACATTAGTGAATTCACAGAGGCATTGTAAACTATTTTGCGTTTTTGAGGAACACAAAGCAACACTTAACACCCATCAGAAATCGTCCATACTAACAACAAAGGTAGTCCTCACTGTTTCAACATTAAATTGGGCTATGTTACTTTCAATGGGATTATGTGTGCGAAGCTGGGCTTTCAGCAGTTGCTGTAATAAACAGCAAATATCAGTGTGAACCAAAGACAAGAGGGTGTCCAATCTGATTCCAAGGTCTGAGAAGTACCACAGTGCCCACATGTGTATATGTTCCATTAACAATCGCGGTGTTTTTTTTTAATGTTTTATTGTGAATTATGTGATAGTTTACATGGGAGAACATTAACTTTACATTCATCTGTTCATGTATCATTTCTCTTTTCATTGCCATGGTTACAATCCCCTCCATGCATCATCAAACAACCAAAGGGTATACCCTACAAGCCTGCCCCCCAGTCATCAGGACACAGCCCCTCTCCCTCTCTGTGTCTAAACTCCCCAACTGCTCCATCTCTCACGTCATTGTCTCTGCCTCCATCTCTGGTGTCACTGTTTCTCTGGGTAGAGTCCTGCACTCCACTCTTCTCCCTTGATGGTCCCAAGGACCTCCACACCTGGACTGCAATGTCAACCACTCCCCTCCTTTTGCTACAAAATGCCCACCTTTACATTTCCAAACCTCACAAATAACTGCATTTTTAAAAACACTTTCTTCCAATTTGTATATTTTTTTTCAAATGGTTACTGAGTTATTAGTACATAAATACTTATGACATTTTTTTGGAGCTCATAAATAAAGCTATTTGATATTTCTTTTAGCCCAGTAACACCACAAACCAAGAAAATTTGGGAGCCTCCAATCTAATCCATTCTCCTAACGACCTAGTAAGTAGGTAGATATAAAATTAGTTGCATTCATGTCGACTCATGGAGACCCATGTATACCAGAGTAGAACTGTCCTCCACTGGGTTTTCAATGGGTGATTTTTTGCAAGTAGATTACCAGGCCTTTGTTCTAAGAAGCCTCTCTGGACGGACTCAAACATCCAACCTTTTGGTTAGCAGCCGAGCATATTAACTGTCTACCAAGTAACTCCATAGACAGACGATACCATCCGTATTTTACTGATTATCCAAAGACTCAGATGAATCCTGCCTAGGGGGATGCCTCTCAGTATTATGAAGTCTAAGCCCAGTTCATGTGTGTCTAAAGTCCAAGCTAGTCCATCCTAGCAATCTCCAACTCTCCTCTGATTCCAACTCAAGTCTTCGAGTAAGGAGGATGTATTACTTTCTCCTTGACATCTGTCCAGTTCCTGTATGTGTACTTGTCCAAACCTTCCTGCTGGAGCAAAGTCTCACAGTGCCCACACGTTAATAAAGCTGAAAGCTCCTTTGCCAAATAGCAATCCCATCCTACACGGTAAGGCACAACCATCTCATTAGCATATGACTATCCAGTCTTCAATCCTCCAAAACGCCAATTCCTGCATGAAAACTTCAACTTTAATTATGTTCACCATTGCAGATGGTCCGCCCAGTACTATTTTGGCCAAGTTTCTCCTTCTCTTATCTCAAGTCACTATGGCAAAGATACTTCTGGTTCTCATGATTAAACAACAACAACAAAAAAGCCACATAGTTGACTCTTAACTCATCACAACCCCATGTGTGTTACAACCTGACTCCACAAGGTTTTCAATGACTAGCTGATCACCAGGCCTGTATTCTGAGGTGACTCTGCATAGACTTGAATTGTTAACATGTTACCCATTTGCACCACTCAGGTACTTCTGACTGGCATAGATAAATTAAGACACAAAAATATGTCATACACCAGAGTATGGTCCCTGCTTCAGTCTTATCAATATCATCTAGGAGAGGTTGTTACAAGTATGAATTCTTGGGACCTACCCAAGATCTTTTTTTGTTGTTGGCTGCCATTGAGTCGATTCTGACCCATAGCGACCCTGTATAGGGTTTCCGAGGAGTAGGTGGTAAGCTTGAACTGCCAACCTTGTAGTTCAAAGGAATCCTGGTGTGGCACTGTGGGTTAATGCATCAGACTGCAAGGCCATTTGAACTGCAAGGTCAGCGGTTCAAGCTCACCAGCTGCTCCTCAGAAATCCTATATAGGGTTGCTATGGGTCGGAATCGACTCGGCGGCACTTACCAACAACAACAAATTTAAGATCTACTGAATGAGAGATCCTGGAGAAAGGACCCAAGAAACCCAGTTCTAGCAAGTCCTTTAGGGTCTGGCCATTTGGCTGAGCCTAGTCCTGATGTGGCGCTGTGGGTTATGCACTAGACTGCAAGGTCATTTGAACTGCAAGACTGGCAGTTCAAGTTTACCAGCCACTCCTCGGAAACCCTATTACATTACGGGGTCTCTATGAGTCAGAATGATAAGACAGCACTTAACAACAACAAACAGAATGTAAACAGATGTAATGCACTCTCTCATATGAGCTTACATGCACGTGCACACACACACACAGACACACCAGCCAAAACAGATTAGAATGTAGATAATCTGCAGGGAAATTAGAGAACTGAAAGTGCCATAGACTGCCAAAAGAACCAATAGATCTGTTTTGGAAGAAGTGCAGCCAGAGTGCTCCTTGGAGGCCAGGATGGCTAAGCTTCGTCTCTCATACTTTGGACTTATTGTCTGGAGGAAACAATCGTTGGAGAAGGATGTCATGCTGGGTAAGGTGGAGGGTCAGAGAAAAAGAGTAAGACTCCTAATGAGATGGATTGGCCAGGTGGCATCATTGATGGACTCAAGTGTGGCAGCAGTAGTGAGGTTGGCCCAGGATCGGACATTGTTTCGTTCTGCTGTGCATGGGGTCGCTATGAGTCGGTTCCGACTCAATGGCACCTGACAAATAATGGAAATGGCAAAGATACGATAGGGTCTGAAGGACCCTGCCCCAAGTGGCAGCTGCAATGCCATTTTTTCTGGTCTTCAGAAAACTTACGTCTTTATTACACTAAGAAAACCCCACACACACAGTAGTTTCAGGAAAATCTCCATAACCCCACCCATTGGAATCTCGCCAGAACTGTACCCAGGATCACACCACCTTAAATACCCCAGTCTGTAAGAAACACGCGGCCTCTTGGTCTCTTTTGGTGACTTAGAGTACCCCCTCCCAGCTTTACTCTCAATAAGCCTGCCTGCTGGTGAAGCCAAGTCTCTCTCCTCAGCTCTTTCTTATT